CTCTTTTTCCTCTTATCTTCTGGAAACAGATCGCTCTTCCCTAGAGTCCTTGAAGTTCTATACTTGGGGCTGGGCCTGACTGATGGAGTGATGCTGGCCTGGGGCCAGGTGCTCTCTTCCTCAGGCCACTGCGATTGGTTCAGGGAAGCCCAGTGACCCAAGCAGCCCAGAATCCTCAGCGTTTTGGTGGCAGAAGACAGTCTGTCTTCTAGCTTTGGGTGTCCTAAGTTGACAGGATGGAGCTAGTAGAAGCCACCTTTTCCTGCTGCACAGAGGAAGCTCTTGACAGTAGGAGGAAATGAGGTCATTGTGTCAAGAAAATCAGGTTGATGTGTGTGTGTGTGTGTGTGTGTGTGTGTGTGTGTGTGTGTATGTAAATGATTATGCCCTGAATCCAGTTATACCTACTTTCATTTTTCATGGGTTGATAATGGAGCTAATTACCCTTGCATTTAAAGAGGTCTGAGTGAGTTTTTTTTTAATTATTGTTTTTCTTTTTCTTTTGCAGTTGAGTCCAGATTAATGTGAAGGCTGACGCGGTGTCCTAGGGGAGGGTGGAAGCTCTTACATTCCCATCATTCTTGCTCATAGTCTTTGGTGACCTGCATTATGCAGTGTCTTATTTACTTTCTGTGTTGCTGAGACAAAATACCCAACACCCAAAGTTAAAGGAGGAAAAGTTTATTTAGATCATGATTTGTAGAGGTTTTAGTGTATTGTCAACTGTTTTCATGGCAGGGTGGCATGGCAGAGGGGCACTGCAGAGCAGCAAGTCCATGTGGTGTCAAGCAGAAGGTAGTGGACAGCAATCAGCAGGACTCAGTTTCCTTTTAATCTCATCCAGGCTGGTGTCACCCATAACCAGGGTGGGTTTTTCCATTATCCATACCCAGATCTGTCTAAACCCATCAGTGGGCTAATTTACTACCACACACCTTAACCCCAGTATCACACACTCTAGATCCAGCCATCTCTGAAAATCCCCAACTACGAGCCCATGAGCTTTGGGGGGGGTACATCTAGATACAGACCAAGAGGAGCGCTAGGGGCTGGTGATGACTGAGCCTCAGAGGTAGGACTAGGTGGAGAGGTGAAGAGGAACTGGTGAAGGTGAAGCAAGCAATTGTGATTCTTCCTGGGATCGGAAGCTTCAGAGCTGGGCTTGATTCCAAGGCCCAGGAGACACGGAAATGGGACCTGGCAAGGGCTCCAGGGAGAGGCAAGCCTGAGTTAAGGTGCAGAGGAGAGCAGATGCGAGGTGTGTTGGAAGAAGAGAGGCTCCTCTTGGGTAGCTGAAGTATCAGGCAAGAGGGTGATGGGGAGATGAAGGCACTGAGGCTAGAGAACCATGTTAGGGCTGGAGCTTGAAGACTTTAACTTTCAGGTCTAGGACTTTGGATTTTGTAGGCTGGAGGGCACGAAGCCATTGGGGTGGGTTCCTTTGTAGTGAGGGGGAGTTGAAGAATTCTGGGATGTGTAGAGGATGGTTACAATGAGGAGGACCAGGTGAGAAATCACAGCACTCTAGACTGGGATGTTGGTCTCAAGTAGAGATTGACATCATGGACATTTGTTGTTTTATGTTCAGCAACTTCTCTCACTTTTTTTTGGGAAGAACCCTCCCTCCACCAATCCATGCTCCAACTTCAGTCTGTGTGGTCTGGGTGAGAACAGCCCCGCAGTGACCAGCTTATGTGGCTGACTGAATAGCCCTGGGTACACACCTGTGTGCCTGGAAAAGGAGGAGAAAGGAGTGGGCAGTGCCTGAGTGCCTAAAGGCTGGTGACTCAACCTGGCTTTAGAGAAGAAGCTGGGTACTAGGCAGTGAGGGCTCCCCTAGAGTCCCACATGCTAGTGTAATCTGCAGGTGGCCAGTCATTTTCCCACTGTCAGGAGAAAGAAATGAAGTCCAGGATGCTGTGTTGATTTTGAGGACTCGCTAACTAGCAGAATCATCCTAGGCTAGAGCTGTTTCCCTCAGCAGAGTCTGAGCACAGGCCAGGGCCCAACACTGCCCCAAGGCCCATGACTTCTGCACTACTTGTCGCTGAGGGCTTTGGCAATGTTCTGTAACATTCTCTCTTTTGGTTTGCTTGGAGATTTCTGAGAAATTACATGAAGCACACACTCCATTCTTAAAAGGTGATTAGTAGGGATGGGAATATAGTTCAGTGTTCAAGCCCTTGTCTAATTTGTATAAGGTCCTGGGTATCAATGTAAATTATAAAAACAAAAATAAAAACCAAAAACCAACGCAACCAATCAACTACCATCCAAAGCCTATTGGCAAAATGAATAGAGCAGGGAACCTGCAGGCTAAAAGCAAGGTTCCCACCCTGGCCCTACCTCTACGTGTCTTGATGACCATGGACAAATGACTTGGCTGCTCAAAAGAAGGGCTAGAGTTCCCAAGGGGGAGAGGATTCCCAAAGTGTTCTGGGCAGGGCTAAGGTGAGAGACCTCCGAAGGGCAGGCTGGCATGGCATGAGCTCTGGCATCAGCTGGATCTGAGTTTTCTTCTGGCTCATGCATAGGGCATCAGCTTCTCTCTGCCTCTCTTTGCTTACCTGTGGACCCAGTGACACCTATTTTGCCAGGCTGGTGTAAAGATGAGGGGGCTAACTGTTCTAGAAAGTGCCTAACACTGTAAATGTTTCCTTTGCCATGATTATTATTTCTATGATATGACTCTTCAAGGCACAGAAGCACAGAGGAGCATGGAGCTGGATTTCAGTCTGCTTTCAGTTGCATATGAAAGAAAAACAAATCAGACTGGATGTAGAAGAAACAGCACCAAAAAAGTTGTTGGCTCACATAAGTCCAAGATGGACTTAATCGATTTCAGGCATGGCTCAAATAGTGGTACCAGAATACTTCCTATCTCTCCATCTTTTGGCTCTACTTTCCTTGGTATGGGTTCCATTGCAAGGATGTGTTGGAGCCAACTGTAAAACATTCAGGAATTTAGGGCACCAGTTAAACTGTTGGTACATGAAATTGGCTATGATGGGTGTATTTATATCCTGGAAACTGGCAAATGTGATAAATCAGGACTTTCTTTTTCTTTTTTTGTGGGAGCTAGTTTGGAGGCACATGACTGCTCCATTCTCCAAAAGTCATTTCTTTTGTAGTGGAAAGATGGCAGCCCACAGCAACTGGTTGTCATCCCATACCCCAGTGGAAGGGGAGCATTTCCCTCTTGGGGTTCCAAGAAATGTCTAGAGTTGTGTCTCACCAGCTTGAGTCACGTGTCCATTTGTGAAGAGGGACCTGTGGTCGGGATGCTAGTGTGCAGCATGCTGATGGACCCTGGCTTCCTCTGGGGCTGGGACACGGGGTCAGGAATAATTTTTTTTTCCAATCACAGTCCTAGAATCAAGGAGCCCTCAGCAGGAAGTGCGTGTTACTGTCACATTTGCTGCATGGCTGGTGGCTCTGCTCCAGGCTGGGCTTGTCTGAGGCAGTTAGCAGGGAGCATTCTGCTCTCTTCTTCTTCTCTTCTTCTCTTGGGAACTGCTGACCAGCTTGAAGTGTCCACTTCATGGAGACCTCAAATCACAGGACAGCAAGCAAAAACTGTGATGCTCCCGCAAAGCCTGGTACCAGACTGTGCAGACCACTTCCTCTGTTTCATGCCTTGCACAGAGCAAGAAAATGGAGCCCAGATTCGAGGAGTGGGGACAGAAACTTTGCCTTTTTAGTGAGATAAACTATAAAGTCACACAGTGAAGGGTCTAGAATATAGAGAGGGAAGAAACTAGGAGCAAGATGACAATTTATCATCTTTTCTAAGAAAAAATGAGAGCACCTCAGTAGCAAAATGGGACTGGATGCTAGGTGGGGGTAAGCGAGAGATGTGTGCTGAGGAATCTTGGGAGGGTGGTGGGCTGTGGCCTGAGAGGATACATGGAGGGATGAGGATGGAGGGGAGTCTGGGAGGAGAGGAGGCAGGTGTGTTGTGGAAGGGCTTCCTGGCCACTGGGACACCATCATCTTGAACTAATCACTGCTCTTGGTCTCTGGTCATAGGGCAACTGTCTTGATTTTTGCTTCATCAGGATCTGATCCTTAGCAAGGATTTGAATGTTAGTTTATTTATGGGGAGGTGGTATCAGGAGATACTCATAAGAGAGTAGGAAAATGACTAGTGGTGTGCTAATAAACTGTCTCAGTGGGGAAAAAAAACCTTATTTGTAGGATTCACCCATTTTTTTTTTTTTTTTTTGTATTCACCCACTTTAATAACATGACAGATACGATGTTGTCACCACGGAATGTGAGTTCAGGTTAGGTAAGAGGTTCTGCGAGCGTTCACAGCCATTCTGGGGTACAGCAGAGCTTGTGCGTCATGCCGGACCAGCCAGCTCACCACTAAACCACTCACTGCTTGCACTCTGAGTAAAGTGTTTTAACATTCATAATTCTTACAGAGAAACATACTGCACACATTTAAAAAGTAGTTCTTTATCTGTGCCTTAGCACTTAAGGTAAATACTTCTATTTCAAGATGACATTTAAAAATTATTCTAATACAACAGCAGCAAAAAATATAATTCTACAAGTATAAAAAGAGCTAAACTGCAATTCATAGTTACGCTAGTCTCGTGCTTACAAGTGTGATTCTGAAATAAACATGACTTCAATGCAGCGCTCATGTTAGTATTCGAGGTTGAGCACGCACGCACGCACGCACGGACGTGTCAGCTGTGGGAGGCTCTAAGCTACAGCTCACATGTGCTTTGAAAGAGTTCTTCCAGAGCCAGCCAGTCCTAAAAACCAACTCGTCACCCCAGTCCACAAGGCAGACAAGGACAAACTGCAGTAACTGGGGTCAACGGGGCTCCTACCCAACATGCAGGGCGTGGGACACTCGGCAGCAGAGCAGAGGGCTTCAGGGCCGGCCAGCGCAGGAGGAGCTGTCATGAGGGGCGAGGGAAGGTGGACTAAACGCTATCCAGTGCACAGACGTGACCTTTCTGGAGCCTGAATGACAGAGTTAGTGAAGCAGTCACCACTAGCGTGGTTATCAAGGCTGCGAGGAAGAAATGTTATTCCAGATACTATAATACAGTTTGAACCAACTCAAAGGATTTATTTTTGACACAAATACGTAACCTCAACATGAGATGTCTAACTGCAGCAAGCGCTTCCAGAATTCAAGGCAGCGTCTCCTCTTCTAGGGCTTAGGCTTTGCCCAGAACTCCCGATACATGGAATAGCCCATCCCAAGGGTCATTGCGCCCACAACGAAGCCTTGGGCTGCCACGCGCATGTGGATCAGGTGCACGGACATTTTAGTGTTTCCCCTGCTCTTCAGTTTGTATAATCCATACGCGACAATTGCTGCGAAGCCTGCCATTCCAATAGGGACAAACGGTGCTTCTTTAGCCTTTCGGATAAGTTTGGATCCCTGGTCTTCATCATATGAAGAAAGAGAAACATCTGTGTTGCTTGACATGGTAACTGCTTGAAGACTCTTCCTGAAAGAGAGCGAAAGCCGCCCAACACCCCAAATTCCGCCGCTTGCTGGTCTCCGCTGGCGCACCACGCTCGCAGCTCTTCGCCCCGCCGATTCACCCATTTTTAAAAAATTTTTATTTTATTTGTGTGTGTGTGTGTGTGTGTGTGTGGCCAGCTCAGCTCACCAGGGGGTGGGGCTGGCTGCATGTGGTGCTGGGTGATTGAACTGCAGTCCCTGTGCTTTGCTAAGCTTGTTCTAAGTGGATGCTTTAGACCACTGAGCCCTCTCACCAGCCTGGATTCACCCATTTTTATGGTTCAAACTACTGGTGTGGTATAACTGAATGAGGAACTGGAAAGAGTGTCTGGGGTATTAGGAGCCAAGATTGGCCCAATCTGGCCTCTGGTGAGGGCCTCATGGCAGATAGCACCACAAGGGCAGGAGCCATGCAGAAGAGATTATGAAGCCAGACGTGAAACTAGAGGGGTTCAGGGCCAGGCTTGCCCTCACTAGAACTCCAGGAGACCAGTATTAATCCCTTCTGAGAGTGGAGCATCATGGCCTAATACCTCTTCCTCAGGCTTCCTTCTTGAAGATTCCACCACCTCAGTATTGACGTCCTGAGACCATGCTCCTAGCACATGAAGCTTTGGCGCCTTAGCAAGCTGGCTTTAGCACACCATTGAGCAGCAGAGGTAGGAGGGAGGAGGGCAGCCAGAAGGGGGCGCACAATCAGGCCAGGTGCCCTGTGAACAGCTGGGGTTCCCGCTCCTGCCCAGTAGTGCTGCGTGTGTGTGTGCATGTGTGTGCGTGTGTGTGTGTGTGTGTGTGTGTGTATGTGTAGGAGAGGCAAATCCTGTTCTACATACCAGCCAAGGGACTGGGTCCCTATCCACCAACTTCCCATCTGTCAGAGTCAAGATTCTTTCCTGGGGTTGGGATTTGTTGGCACTTTTGTCCAGGGCTCTAGAAGACTCAGGACATAGGACTCTGAGCAGCATAGGGGTGAGAAGTCGCAAGCTAGGCCAGGCATATGGGAAGGAATAAATTGCCCAATCCACTGGTCTTCAGTCTGGCCTTTGCAAGGTGGGAATAGGGGCTATATTCTGTTTATGTCTTGCTTTTTCTCAGGCCCTTTCAGGCCTTCTTTGTTGGAACTGGGCTTGCAGAAATTAATTTCCATGGGATCTGGAGACTTTTTTTTTTTTCCAAATAGCTAAAATTCATTCATTAATCAACAACTCACTAACTTGGTGATTCACTGTGTGGAACAGATACTGTGGTGTCTTTCCTGAGGGCTTTGTCTCTCCCAGAACCGACTTCTGGTTTCTTCAAAGAACTGCAACTAAGACTGGGCGTGATGGCACATGCTTGTAATCCCAGTTCTTTGGAGGCCGAACACAGGAGGATCTCTATGAGTCTGATCTACATAGTGCGACCCTGTAGACCTTATACTAAAATATAAAATAAATAAATAAATAAATAAATAAATAAAACAAAAGGAAAAAAAAGCAAAAACAAAAAACTCCTGCAACTATCTGAGGTCCTCCTTGGAGTGCAGGAGGGTGAACAGCACTGCACAGGACAGGCTGAAAGTATCCAAGAGCAGGAAAAACCTTTTAGGGTGACCATAAGAAATAGCGGGTAAGTCCCTCCGCCTTATTATCCCCAGATAGGACCCCATTCAGGAACGTCCCAGGGCCTGCATGGGATGGAACTCCTTTTGCCTGGACAAATAACATGCTCATTATTGGGCCAGCGTTGGCTGCCTTTTCTTCCCTTCCAACTCTCTGCTCCCCATCACAGCTTTCTGGGACCATTTCTCTAATAAGCTGCTTCAACTCATATCCCTGTTTTACAGTTTGCTTTTGGGGAACCTGGTATGGGTTGAATATGTTCCTCCCAAATTTATATGTTAAAAACCTAATCCTCACATGCTTATGTTAGTGGTATTTTAGAAGTGGGGACTTCAGAGGAAATTAAGACTAGACGAGGCTGTGAGAGTGGCTCCTAGGATGGCACCAGTAGATTATAAGAAGAAGAGGAGCGACGAAAGCAAGTGCAATGCTCTGTTGCACCCTGTGTTGCTCTCTGCCATGTCATGATGTGGCATGGTCCAAAGAAAGGAGGCCCTGGTCCCATCTCCTCCCATGCAGGTACAATGTTCTTGGGCTTTTCAGACCCCAGAATCAGGAGCCAAAGCATGTCTGCTCTTTGTAAAGCAGCCAATCTTCATTTTTTAAAAAATTGCAACAGAAAACAAACTAAAACAGGAGCCAGCCTGGGGCACAAGGTGCCATTGGCTGCAAAACTAGGCTGCTCTGAAAGGGTGGAACCTGCATCTTCTGGTGTTTCTTGTTTCCTTTTGCGGGGCTTAACATTGGTTTCAACTTCTAGTTGAAGAATCAAAGCTCTGGAAGCTTTCTCCTTGTCTCTAGCTCCCTGATGCCTCTCTGTCCCCTAAAGTGTCACTTCTTATCTTCAGGCATGCCTCCTCCATCTGATCACTCTTGTGGGCCCCAGTGAATTTTCTGAAGCCACCCTGATCATGGGGTTCCTGGTGGAAAGGCTTCGATGGTAGCTTTCCAGCGCTATGAAGAAAAATATCTAAATTCCTCATGGTGGCTTAACAAGGCCTTGAAGGAGTTGGTCTCTGCCAAACTCTTGGGTTCTAGAACCTTCACTGTTTTTGTTTGTTTGGTTGGTTTTGAGACAGCATCTTGCTCTGTAGTGTAGGCTAGCCTTGAACTCACTGCGATCCTCTTGCCTCAGCCCCCCCAGTACTGGGATGACAAGTGTGTACCATCACACCTGGTGTGCTCCCCTCTTCTTAACAAGCTCCTCAGCCCACAGGACTCACTGGGTTCAACTGTTCAAACAAAACCTACACTGTCACCTCTAAGCCTTTGTGCATGCTGCTCTTTCTACCTCAATACCCTTCCTGCCTATTCTCCCCTGGCCAATTCTGATTTAATTGCCATATTTAGCAGAAAAGACCTGTCCCTGGAGCATGTGCTCCTCTATCTGGGTCTAGGTTCCAAGGGCCAATGTTCTCCAAAAGACCCTTGCTTTACTCTATGTTATTCCAGCCTGTGTCTCTCCATGAATGATAAACTCCCGGGCGTGGGGCCAAGTCTGATGTGCTTGTGGCTGGCTTTGGCAGGTAGCACCATATCCATACTGCACAGTGAAGGCCTGGTAAGTGGATTAGGGAGTGAAAGGGTGGCTTTTCTCCTGCTGACCCTGGAGGAGTGCATCTATAGACCTTGGCTTCTAACTCCCCCAGAGAGGACAAAACTTTTGCTTGGCAGCCTTTGTGTTCCCTATGACATCTCATTCAGGTCCTGGATGGGAAGACAGGGGTGAGAGAAATGTCCAGGAGGAGGAAGGGAAGGAGAAGAAAGGAGGCCCTGGTCCGTGGCCCAGAAGAAATGAGCATCTTCAAGTTTTGCACATCTCTCATCTAAGTAGGTCGCACGGAAGAACTCAGAGTCCCTGTCAAAGTTTCAGGCAAAAACAATAACTTGGTTTTGACCTTGCTCTCTTCAAAAAGCAAGTTGCTGCTGAGCTGCAACATCAAAAAGAATAAATAATTGTTTTTCTTTTTTGTTGTTATGATATGGATCATCTGAGCGGTTAGTGGTAAGCAAGCGGCTTTGATTCCACTCTGGCTCCCCAGCGCTCCAGCCTCTCTTTATGTCAGCAGGCTCCTGTTTCCACCCCAGGACAGCAGAATCCCTTGATTAAATTCATATTTGTTTTAATCTTTCCCTGTGTCTGATCTTGAGCTCAAAGATGGTCAGGGGGAGAAAAAGCCCGCTGCCCTGCTGCGGCCACGGGAGGGCCCGTGTCAGGCCCCACGCTGTCTGCTCTGTCCGGTGCGATAAGGCAGCCAGCCCTCGGTGCCGGCCCTGGGCTTCACACTGCCAGCAGCCGCCGGGACACCCACAGAGCTACTGGGCTGCTTGAGACCTGGGGAGGCCGGGCGTGAGGCTGCTGGAGGTGTTGCACAGCCCTTGATCAGACCCCTGTGCTGACGGCGGAATACCTGACTCCTCCTTAAGACAGCTTTCTGGTTTTGGTGGTGATCCTGGGGATTGAACCGACAGCCTTTGGCACTAAGCTGCATTCCCAGCACATTTCTTCTTCTTCTTTTCTTTTCTTTTTTTTTTTTTTTTTTGAGATGAGATATCATGAATTGTCCAAGTTGGGCTTGAACTTGTGATGTTTCTGCCTCAGCCTCCCAGAGTGCTGGAATTACTAATGTGTGCCACCACACCCAGCTAGCTTAAGATTTTTAGTTGAAAAACATATGGCTTTTAGGTGTGCAAAATGAACTTTATCATCCTGCTCAGGTCAGAGCAGGTTGCCACCATCCGTCTGCATTTCACTACTACCCCAGCCCCACGACTTCACTTACCCTCCTGGCTTGAAGGGAGCTTTCCATTGTGTTTGATAAATGTCCTTCAATACATAATGTGGCTTTGTAGTTGACATGTGTTTCTTTTTATTTTGTTGTGATAAAATAACATATCACATACAATTTACCTTTTGTAACAGCTGTGGCTTGTATTCAGAAAGGTACTGTCAGCCTTCCCCATCTAAAGATTCTATATCCACTGACTCAAGTAATCATGGGTTGGAAATTTATGAAAGAAAGTCCAGAAAGCAAAGCAGAGCTCTGAACCCTATGTCCAATCCACTTGAATGGAGCGGCGTGCTGGTATGTGCCCTGCCATGGCCTCTGCTGCCCTCAGGCCTGTGGTCCTTGCTCACCCTCCTTGTTGGAGCGGAGTTCTCCCAGTCTCTTGCATGTACCACATGGCTGGGCCTGTGATAGTTGTGTCTGAATGGGACATGCACAGGATTTGGTCACCATTCCTGAAGAGCACAGTGTCATGACTGGCAGCACTTACATTAGGTACTACAAGTAATCTAGAGACGACAGAGCCTTTGCAGGAGGATGTGTGTGAGTTATTTGCAAACACTAGAAGATTGTATAAGGGCCTTGGGCAGCTGTGTATTTTAGTATCCATGGGGACCCTGGAATTTGTCCCCTGCATTGCGTCCTCCAGAGTGTATCAGTTAAAAACACAAGCTTTG